TTATTGATGTTGTTGTCGGGGTTGTCTTTTGGTTGTCGTTGCTGAATTTGTGGTATATACGGTCCTTTCCAATTCAATTGTACATCTCTTTGTAATCAGTTACCCACCACCCAGCCTGGGGTCAGGACACCTGTCATTATTGTTCTGTCTGATTCTCTCCGCTTAATTCATCATTCGCTAACCATCCCGCTGCTAAGCCATGCCATGTGACACTACCTGACCACCCACGACCCAGGGTACGATATGCTCTTAATCTACATCCGCTCTCTGGAAAGACGACGCTCAGCGCCCTCCCTGATGCTGCCTTCACAGAGTGGTTCCCCTCAGGCAGACCAAGCCCTCTACCCCCTTGCCACTACCTTGCCACCTGCTAACCATGTGACACTACCCTACCACCCACGGCCCGGGGTACGACACGCCGATAATCTGCATGCACTCCCCGGGAAAGGATGCTCACCGCCCTCCATGATGATGCCTTCACAGATAGTTCCCCTCAGGGGGGCCAAGTAATCTGCCACTGCTCCCCAAGCACTCCATGATAATCTGCATGCACCATGATGATGGCATGTCGAGCAGTCCTCTCAATTATCCCCCTCAACACAACCTAAGATCGACTAGTTCTCTTCTCAGTAATACCCTATCAGGCAGTGCTCCCCGAACCCCAGTGTTGTATCCGCTGCACTAGCTTGGCGCAAGTACATCAGGTGTCATTCTGGGTTTTTGACTTATGATGCTGTTTTGACGGGCCATTCCTGCCTGGACCCCTCGGTCCCTGCCATTTGTTTGTCTTCCTGGCGTTTCCCTGTCGCCACTTGATGTACTTTTATGATATGCCATTTTTTATTTTCTGTTTTAAATAAAAGTCCAGATCGTAGCAGAGGCTGGATGCTACCTTCTTCCCCCGAACATAACGCATGGTATGCATTGTAAACGAATACAACGCATATGTGTTCTATTTGAATAGCCCTAAATTTTGAATACGACACATATGCATTGTTACATACTCGTGAAAGTATCAACGAGTATGGGGCAGAACCAAAGATCAACCAATATAGGATGAGCATGTATGCAGCGGAAGTCTGATAAAGGGATTGACTCACATAGACTGACTCACACAGATATCACTCCACACACATACAATCGTGAGATGGTGGGGTCTGGGCCAAGCATCGACGATGCCCAGATCCCGTACACACATGCACAGATGAAAGGTGGGAGGAGAGACGAAGGAGGTGGGGGAGGTAGACAACACCGAAGGTCACCGAGATAGAATCCGATAGGTCACCGACATGGTAGTCCAAAATGTCATCAAACAAGATCAAAATGTCGAGGACAATAAGTCACCAATGTCGGAGATACAGAGTCCTAATGTAAACGGTGTCCGGACTGTGATGCTGCCGAGTATCAACCCCAACAATCTCCAAGTCTCGAATCCGGTAAGTACCACAGCCCCATACCACCGAAGTCCAACACTGATCTCTGTCCAACTAGTATGAAGTCTCCAATCTGAAGAAGAAGAAGAAGAAGAAGAAGAAGAAGAAGAAGAAGAAGAAGAAGAGAGTCGAGGAGGAGAGAGAGAGAGAGGGGACTGGCGATGGGAGGGAGGAGAGAACCTCCGGCTCCCGATGCCTCAGGCGGCTATGGCCGCCGATCTGCTCAGTCGCCGCTGGTGCTGCTCCGCTCGTTGCCGCTGCTGCGATACTGCTGCTGCCGCTGCTCCTCGTGCTCCTGCGCTAAGAATAGCGTTAGCGCTCTGGCGCTAACCATAATGCACCGCTTAGAGTGTCGGTGGTTCGATCCCGAAATGAGGCTGGACCGGTACTTTTGTACCGGTGGGGCAGAGGCCGGCCTCTATGCTGCGAGGCCTGGCCGTGCCCTGAACCGTCAAGATTGACGGTTCAGCCCCAACCGGCGGGCGACAGCCTCAAGAGCGCCGCCAGGCCCAAACGGTAATGTCGTTTGGGCCTGCCCGTCGGGTCTGGTCCAAGATGAGGCCTTTACGGCCTGTAGTACCCCCAAGGTCGGGCCTTTAGGCCCTACTGTGTCCCTCTGGCCCTAAGTCGGGTCCGGTAGGGCCCGTGTGGCGTCGAAGATGTAACATGCATTCTATTCAATTTTTTTCAAATTCAAAAACTCAAATACAACGCATATGCGTTATGTTCGGGGGAAGAAGGTAGCCTCCGGAGGTGTCTGTCGTTGTGCTCGACCAGTGGGGAAATAAGATGGGTTGTGACAGCCCCAAGGACAGTCTCCTCCAGGCGGCATCATTCGTGAACTTTTTTGTTACCCTAATCAGACCGCAAGTTGATTCCTACAGTGGTGCGGCCCTGACCTGTCTCTAGACCTAGACCTACACCAACCTGCGCCTTCCAAGTGTCTCAGACAAGTCCCCATGGGCGCTATCATAAGGACACCCCGAATTCTTGAGGACGACCTAGATACAGGAGGGGTCACAGCTATGTGGCCATTCCCCACCTGTATCACATTTAGCAGACTCTATTGGTGTTTATCAACCTTCTACTATCAATTTGACGACCCACCCTCCCCTGCCTAAGATGAGACCTCTAACCAGAGACTCTTCCCAAAATTCACGCCCCAATTAACCCCCTCAACGGGAAAGCAGATAAGTACCAGCCCGGGTGAGGCCCAGCCAGCAAGCATCGTGAGGTAGACATGAGGCTCGCCCTTTGGAATCGTACATGCGTACCACTACTCAAGGGGGGTGTAGAGAGCGGAGCTGTACGGGACCAGAATCGTACAATGTAAGTATGGATTCTATAGGGGTGTACCACGAGGCCAGGAAACTACTACGGTACCCAGACATACCCATGACACACCCAATGAGCAGTACATACAAACAAGGCGGCGCATACAGACAGACCCACAATCTCTACACAAATTCCTACCTAACCTAATCTAGACGTAAGACCTCTACCCAACCTAACTCCTCTACCCCACCTATGGCGAGTACATGAGACATGACCCAGCGATCAATGAACCACACACCATACACGACACACACACACACATACACACACACATACACACACACAGACATACACACACACATACACACACACATACACACACACACACATACACACACAGGTACACTCGTCAGACCACCCCAAGGGCAACCCACTCAAACAACCGTCAGAGAGAGAGAGAGAGGAAAGAAGCAGATCGGAGAGGGGGAGAGTCGGGTTGCAGCGGTTCAAACCGCTAAGTCCCAAACTTTTGCAATTGCATATTATTGTTTTTAGTGGAACTTCGAATGGGCACGCACACACACACACACACACACACAAACACACACACACACACACACACACACAACACACACACACACACCGCCTCCATCCCCCGCTGCACCAATCCAGCCTGTTGCCCCCCGCCCTGGCCCGCCATACTGGCTCATATGGGCCAGTACGAACGGCCGTACAACCCTATGTACGACCGTTCATACGACCGTATGAGCGCTCCCCCGTATGTTGTACGACGGGAGTCACTGGTGTACACACTAACATGCGTTGGTTAATGCCAGCCGACCAAATGCACAGAGTGCCGGTCCGAAGATTTGAACTTGCACCCATATACCAGAACGTACATTCGACATCGGTACTTTACCCATTGAGCTAAGGCTATTGTTCTATCCTACACAGCCTATATACCCCCTTATGGAACCTGCCCTGTTCCCCGAGGTCTCTCTCCCTCCCTCTGTGTGTGTGTGTGTGTGTGTGTGTAAGAGAGAGAGAGAGAGAGAGAGAGAGAGAGAGAGAGAGAGAGAGAGAGAGAGAGAGAGAGAGAGAGA